TGCGGGCTATGGCGAAACGCTTGTCAGCCTGAGCTCATGGTCAAGCGCAGGGAAGGCTACTGCTTCCTAAAATTGTAAACAATATACCCGACCTGAATTTCCGGGGCACCGGAATCGGCTTGCCAGGTAGTGCGTAAGGCGGCATTTTCTGCCTGGCGATACAAGCATGAGCTGGTTGTAGTTGTGGCAGCTCCGTTCGGAATTTTCTCCCCGGCTTGCGCACGGGTAACCTTGCCGCTGCGGTTTACGTAAATTTTAACCACTACGCGCCCTTCTTCGGTGCAAGGATAATCGGGGCGTGGTTTTTCCAAAGCTCTGCGGCCGCCCAGTTGATAGTTGCCATCGCCACCGGCACCTCCGCCTCCGGCTCCGGTGCGGTTTTGAGAGTTCTTGTCGCCATCGGGATCGCCTTGATCACCTGGGCCTCCGGCTTCGCCTTCGCCTCCTTCCTTGCTCTGCTGGGTTTGTTTCAGCAAGTCTTGAAGCTCCTGTGAGGGTTGTGGATCTGGCTTGGGTTCCTCAACCGGCTCCTCTTCCTCGGGCTCGGTTTTCTTTGTGGTTTGGGTTTCCAGGCTGGGCGCCTCAACCGCATTTTGCGTTTGTACCGGATCCTGGGTGGATTCGCTAATGTTTTCCGTTTCGGTTACGGGCTCTTGTTGTTGCTCTTGCGGCTGCGGTTTGCTGGGCACGGGTGCGCCATTGTCTTGATTGCCAGAACCGGTTTCCGTGTAGCCGAAATTGATTACAATGCCGTCCTCTGGTTTGGGTTCGTAGTACTTCAAACCGAAGAATAGGAATACCAGCAACAGCGCCAAATGCACCAGCGTAGTTGCGATGAGGCCTCTGCGTTTGTCTTTATCTTTCCAGTATTCTTTCATAGTTTTAGGCTTACACCTACATAATGGCCCCCAATCCCTGAAGGGGGCTTTTATCATCTGACTTAAACTCCCCCTTTGGGGGATTTAGGGGGCTTATTGATGCACGTCACTTTCAGCAATTTTTTTCTGAGCCCCCCGGCCCCCAAAGGGCGAGAAGCTAAATACACTTACTTCGGGTCTGTAGCGGCAATCATTTTCAAGCGGTTGCGGTATGCAATGTCCATCACTTTAACCACTTGTTCGTACGGTACCGACTTATCGGCTCGTAAAATTACAACCGCGTCTTCTTTACCTTCCACCTGACGTAAAATTTCGCTTTCCAGTTCGGCAGAAGCCACAATTTCATTGCCTACTGAAAAGCGTTGATCAGGACTAATATTTACCGTTACGTCTTTGCGCTTTACCGTTTGGGCCTTGCTGCTGGGCAGCACTAAATCTAACGCGCTGGTGGTAACTAAAGTACTGGCCAACATGAAAAATATGAGCAATAAGAACACAATGTCGGTCATGCTGCTCATGCTGAACTCTGCACTTACTTTGCTTCGCCTTTTTAAATCCATTAGGCGGGCTCATTTAGTAGGTCCATAAACTCAGTGGCTTTGGTTTCCATCAAAAATACCGTCTTATCAACCTTAGCCACCAGGCTGTTGTAGCCCAAATAGGCAATAATGCCCACCGCCAGTCCGGCAACGGTGGTGGTCATGGCCACGTAAATGCCTTCGGCCAGCATTTCAATGTTAATTTGCCCTCCGGCCGAAGCCATATCGTGGAAGGCCAAAATCATCCCGATTACGGTACCAAGGAAACCAATCATAGGAGCCGCTCCGGCAATAGTGGCCATGGTGGCCAGGTTTTTCTCCAACATACTCACTTCCAGTTTGCCGGTATTTTCAATGGCGGCACTTATGTCTTTAAGAGGTTTGCCAATGCGGCTTATGCCTTTGCCCAACATGCGCGCCACCGGAGTATCCTGGCTTTGGCAAAGGGCGCGGGCGGCATCCAGCTTGCCGTTCATCACGTGGTCTTTTATGTGGTTCATAAAGTTTGCGTCCATCTTATTGGCGCGCTTTATAGCCCCCCAGCGCTCCACAAAAATGTACACCGCAATAATGGAGAGTACGGCCAAAACCACCATAATTATGTTTCCGCCAATCCCTCCGCTGGAAACTAATTCCCAAACACTTAAGGTTTTTTCAACGGGTTCAGTAGAGGTGGCGGTATCGCTGGCGCCAATGTTTAATTGCAAGAGAGTAGGTCTCATTAACGTTTAGAATTTTACACACCAAATATAACGGCATAGCAAGCGCGCAAGTATGCGGTTGCAAATAGAAATTAACAGCCCTGCGTTAGTGGTTGGCCGCTTTCGCGGGAATGTGGTTTAGGTGAATTCAAGGCTTGGCCTCCAGAAGATTGGCCTCAGCCAGGGGCAGGCCAAACGGAAATTGAATAGAGCCCAGAAAATAAAACCGGACAGGTTAACAGCGAGCGCGCCAGTAACCTGTCCGGTTAAAATCAGATTATGAAACCCATGGCCGGGTTTTCAAATGCAAGTTTCTAAAAATGAAAGAAGGTTTCCTGCAGTATATAGGCTCCGGCTCCTGCCAAATACCCCACCAAAGCCAAGCAGGGTGATTTTTTTAGGTACCAACCAAAGGAAATATTTTCCAGGCCCATAACGGCTACACCCGCAGCAGATCCAATAATTAGGGCGGAGCCTCCGGTTCCGGCACAATAGGCCAGAAATTCCCAAAACAATCCGTCCTGTGAAAAGAATGTTCCCGCCACGGGGTTAATGTCGTACATGCCCATGGATGCTGCCACCAGGGGTACGTTATCTACAATGGCCGACAATACGCCAATGATTACCCCGATGCCATAAATTCCGCTGGCTTCTCCGGTGCCAATGCTGCTTTCTAAAACCCCGGCCAGTTCCCGCAATTGCCCGGCCGATTGCAAACTCGCCACCGCCAGCAGTATGCCTAGGAAAAACAGCACACTGGCCGTATCCACTTTCCGCAGGACGGAAATAACACTGAGCTTGCTTTTTGTTTCCTGGTTTTTGTCGCGGTGCAATACTTCGGTAACGGTCCACAATATGCCCAGGCTAAGCATCATGCCCATAAAGGGTGGGAGGTGGGTGTAGGTTTTAAATACCGGTACAAATAGCAAACCCAGCAAGCCCACCGTAAAAACGGTATTTCTTTCAAACTCTGTTGTGGGGTTAACATAGTGCTCCAGCCCTTCGCTTTTTAGCGGGCGTTTTACATTGCCCTTCAATTTGGTGCTGAGCAGTACCAGCGGAACGATTAAACAAACCAAACTGGGGAATATGAGCTTGGTGATTACGGCAGAGGCGGTAATCTGCGAACCAATCCAAAGCATAGTGGTGGTAACATCACCTATAGGCGACCACGCACCGCCCGCATTGGCGGCCACTACCACCATACCGGCAAAAAGCCAGCGGTCTTGTTTGTCGTCAATCAGCTTTTTAAGCAATGAAACCATTACAATACTTGTGGTAAGGTTGTCAAGAGCCGCGGATAAGAAGAAGGTAAGTATGCAAATAATCCAGATGAGCTTCTTTTTGCTGGTGGTTTTAATGCGGTTGGTAATTACGGCAAAGCCCTCGTGGGCGTCTATGAGCTCTACAATGGTCATGGCCCCCAGCAGGAAAAACAAAATGGAGGCTATTTCACCCAGGTGCTCCAATACCTGAAACTCGGTTACGTAGTGGCTTATGATTTCGGGTTGCTCGCTGAGGTGGTGCTCTTCAAAGAACATTTGCGTAATAAATCCGGGAATGGCCTCAAAGTTTACGATGCCTTCCGCGCCAAGCACGTAAACCGTCCAGCAAAGCACGCCCGTGATGAGCGCAGAGGCCGCCTTATCAATACGAATATTATGCTCAAGGGCTATGGCAGCATAACCCAGCACAAAAATCACAATCATTAAAGTGTACATGCAGAGTGTATTAAATGAGTTGTTGCAGCGCTATTTCGTAGGCTGTTTTGGTGATTTCTTTGGTTGATGAATTCTTATCGTATGTTTTTTGCAGGGCCACCCGAATGGTTTGGCTCACATCGTCAAAAATGGCGGTATCCTCCAGTTGGGCTTCGTCTTTCATCAGGTAGCCAAAAACCCGGGCCATGCCGCAGTTTGAAATAAAATCGGGAATGCAGCTCAGCCGCTTATCGGCATACTCAGAAATGGGTCCGTAAAATATTTCTTTGTCGGCAAAAGGTACGTTGGCCCCGGCCGAAATTACCTCCAGCTTATTGTCTAGCATGCGGTCTAAGTGATCGCGCTGAATAAGGCGTGAGGCCGCTGCGGGAATAAATATTTCCGCGCCAATGTCCCAAATCTTTTCGTTCACTTCGTCAAAGCTCAATAGGTTTTCTGCTTCCAGAAAGTTTGAGCTGCGGTTGTTGTACAGTTCTTTTATTTCTTCCAGCGTAAAGCCCTCGGGGTTGATCAGCCCGCCCACGCGGTCAATAATGCCCACTACTTTTACGCCCATGTGGGCCAAATAGCAAGCACAGGCCGATGCTACATTGCCCCAACCTTGAACAATGGCGCGTTTGCCTTTAATTTCGCCCCCGTAAATGGCATAAAAGTGCTTTACCGATTCGGCAACGCCATAGCCGGTAATTAAATCGGCCACGGTATTTTTGCTGCTTCCGCTGGGCGTGTATTCCTCATGATAAACCGGCAAGAGCACGCCTTTCTTAAGCTGATTAATTTTTTGCAGCTTGCTTTTATC